ATAAGAAAATGCAAACTTTAAAGAGCTATACCACAAAATTTTATTAATACAATTACTTTTGTGTCTTAAGTAAAAAAATGATTCTAATCTTATTCTAAATTGATTTATATAAAAAAATATCTTTTGAAAAAATGGTCAATTTGGTCCCTTTTCTCAGCACCTAGCCCATATATATATATAATTTTATACACCAAAACAACTGATAAGCTTTAGAAATATTTAATAAAATTTTCTTAATGTTTTTATTTGCACAATCTATCAATTAAATTTACATTTATAAATTCAAAAAATAATGATTTGTAGCTTGTATTACATGAAGACTATTTCTTCAATTTTTATATTGAAAGATCTTTTACAATTCTGCATCACTCTCTCCACTTTCAATTCCTCCATCATCTACAAGCATTCTATTATCCGCTCTTCTGATAGGTCTTCCTCCAAGTACCTCATCAGCAATATCATAATCAAAGTCTTCTCCTGTTCCAACACCTTCACCTCCAATTATACTTAATACCACTGGTAATAATACTAATCCATGCAATGCTCCTGCTATAACCATACTAACATACATTCTAAAATAATAGACTTCGAATATTTTGCTTCTAGTAAACGCCAATACTAATATTCCCCAAAATTTGGTTAATGTAATGCCCGAAAATACTGAACTTCCTACATCTACTATCGCTCCGTACGCTCTCTCATTTCTATCTACCCCTTCACCTCCTACTACAAATGCTCTCACTACATGTACACAAAATTCTACACCTATTCCTACACATATTACTAAATTTACTAAGCTTACCGCATTTAATGACACACCCCATATTGCCATCATTCCAAGCACACACACAACTATCATTATCACATGACCTACTACGATCAATCCTGTCCATACGCTACCTAACAATAATGCTGTTACCACCCATATTGATAAAAATGCATATAAAAATATTTCTGCTGCTAATCCTACAATGTGTTCGTATTGTTCGAAAAATATATAAAACACTGAGTAGGGAAATACATCTACCGATGGATTTTTCTTTTTAATTGATTTGCTAATACGGTGTGCTGCATGATATGCTGATATGTAATCTTTTTGACTCTTAAGAGGTGTATGGAATGTACGGAAATGACTTGCTACTACTGTGTTATGTTCTGGGCTTGAAACTATTGCATCTCCGTACGCTGCTTTTCCTGCTAATGGACATGATTCATCAGGTGGAGAATTTTTCCAAAGGTTCATATAATATAGAAATTCACTCCCTTCTGGTAAACCCTTCATTGTAATGTTCCATTTGGGTTCATGATCTTTAAAACAAGTCTGACAATCTTCTTCATCATCAAATATATCACACATTTCAACAGGATCGGAACCTTTTTTTAATCGGCAACACATTTCAAGCGATGGGTTAAGCCAATGCAAGAAATCATCAATCCATGATGCTGTAGGCTCCGCTATATATGATACATGTGGTCTTTTGCGTTCTTGCTCCAAGGTATTGGATAATGAAAATCGATCACATGTACTAAAACGTCCACATAAAGCCCGTTGACCTTCTTTTTTTGTAACGTTTACATCTTTGGCAACAAAGTAAACAGGTGGGCCGACACGGAAATAATTGTCCAAATCATCGAAATAATCAATAAGATAGGAATCACTGGGTAATGCGATCCGTTGATCTATGTATATCAAAGAATTAATAATCGAATATAATCAAACGCATTTGTAATCATTGAATTATTTTAAAACTTACCAAGTCCTAACTCAACTTGAGGTACCAAACTTAGTCCAATCATAAATATACCAATAAATATTGTAATTACTGTGATCTTAACATTTTTATTTAATATGAACGGTGCATAATACTTTCTCATCCATTTTTGAAGTGTACCTTCTCTATCTATCCTTTCTGGTGCATTTTCAATCTTAATACATGGAAAACAATCCATCCTATCATCCTCTTGTCGTTTAGCATCTAATGATAGAAACGCTATGAACACAGTTACTTGTAATAAATAATCTACCCATACAGCTAAAGCAGCATAAAGAGCAAAATTTCGTACAGCCGGCATTGTAACTATGCCACCCAAACCGAATGCGATAGTTTCACTTAACGCACTAAGAAGTATACTTGGTCCCATTCGACCTAAAGTTTTTGCAATACGCTCTTCAACAGACTCTTCACCACCTGATCTTAAAGTCAATCTCTCAAATTCATGGTTAAGAATAAAAATGTTATCTACTCCCACGGCTAGTACAAGAAATGGAATGACTTCAGCGATAATTAACGTAACCTTGATTCCAAGGAATGAGAAAATTCCAACTGAGGTTGAAACTGACGCCAAAACTATGAATATACCACAAATGCCCAGCATGAATTTTGAGTCAATAATCATGCGTAGGAGAGTTGATTTATTACCCAAAGCCACAGATACATATAAAAACATGACTAAATACGAAAGTACGATAGTGAAAATATCAGTGTTTGTCGATTTATTTAATTCAAGTTCCAAAGAGCTCTGATATATAAATTTTTTATGTTTAAAATTTTTTCGTCATAAAAAATAAAACCGTTTATGGATAAAATTAATAAGTTAGATGATAATAAATAAAACCAAAAGATAAAAAAAAGAATGTTTACACACTTCTGTTGAAAAGCTTATTCTAATATCAGTAACATCAACATCATCATTTTCACCTTCAATGACTTTGTGCAAATATTTTCTCAATTTTTCTTCCCATTCTTCAGCCATTTTTGCTTTATCTTTTTCCAAATAATTATTCAAAACAAAGGTTAACACCAAAGCTTTTGCTTGTTTATAATTAGAATTTTCGAAACCTCCAAGAATCATATCGGGTTTTAATGGTTGCTGAAAATCAGGTAAACAAAATGAAGGAGCAGATGTACAAGTGCCAAAATCATTTTCCCAAGTTTCTTCTTTGAAATTATCAATGTTAGATTGCCAATAGCCCGCTACCGATTGAACAATACACGCATCACCATTAGGATGAAAACATAAATCCTGTAGAGTATAATTATGAGGGGTTGATTTAAGATCACGAATTTGGTTCTCTATTATGAATAACTTTCTGAGATTTTCATAGGTTACGATACTTTGAGAATCATTTTTATTCGTAATGAAAATTTGTTGAGTTCGATAAAAAGGACCAAAATTTTGATCAAAATATTCTTTATGAAGAGCAGAATCAGAATTTGGAGCGACCCAAAGTCGTACAGGATCAGTTTCCACCGAAAAACAGGCCCAGCCTGATGAGGCTAATAATACGAAAATTCCAGCAAAAATAATGGTATACCAAGGGTGCCTTGCACAAATGAAACCTTGTTGATAGAAATATTCTTGTAGTAATTGGTTTAGCCAATAACGTTTGGATGAAGGTTGTACATCAGGTACTCTAGCCTCAATGCTAGATAAAGGAACACGTTCATACCAAATAGCATCATAATTTGGATCAATAACACAACATACAGCAAAAACGCCCACTATTAAAATTATATAACATAGGTATAAACTAAAAGACCAACAGTTAATAGAACCGACACGACACGGAGGATTTTCTTCGGGAGTTGGATCCAAAATAGGACAAATAGATTGGCAATCCATGCAAGAACAACGATAATTGACATCTGTATCATTACATCGTATCGCCGGTTCATCAAAAGGGGTCATAACCTTTAATGGATCAGTGAGTGGAAAATTAATCTGAAAAGGAGAGCCGATCATTGGACGCTCCATACCCAAGTAAATCAACATATCATGATAATTAGTAGCGCCACCACCAATGAAATCCATAACATAACCATTTGTTGCGGCAAATTTGATGTCTTTACAGGAATCAAAAAAACCTTTTCCATAATTTTCACCCACAAAGAAATCTACACTTGTAACGATTTCAGCGGTTGATTCGGAATTATTACCAATTGAAGTTACATTAACAAAAGTAGATTGATTTGGAGAACATGTAAAAGTGCAGAAAAAACCGAGAAAGTTCTTCCAACACGCGGGACAAGCACTAATCAAAGTCTCAGCTTGTTTTGTGCTTTCCCTAAGGTCATCCAATTGATCCGCATCACAACATACTAAGGAGTTTTCAAATTTCGATCCACAAATTTCAACAAGTTTTAACCTCAAATCTTCATCCGGCTTAAATTAAGAAATAATACAATGCACGAAAAAATAGTGAGTATAGAAAGATCATACATTTATTCAATCCTTAACTTTTACTGGTCACACAAATTGTCGTACACATGAAAGTAGCTTACGAAATAACTAGAATTTCGATAAGCCACTTTGCCCCTTGCATTCAGATAGTAACACAAATATATAGATAGAAACATTTACCTCTTCAGCCGGTTTATTGTAGGGGCAATTTAATTGTTTACCGAAAGGTTGTTTTGAGCCACACTGGCCTCGCATAACACAATATCCTTCTTCATGGATATCGGATGCTAAACCAGATGCAACCAATACCAACAGGATTAAAGGTATAACGGATACAAAAATAAGGTTCTTCATATAACCAATTTTTGGAAGAGATAAGGCAAAAAAGCTATGTTCAAAAAAAAAAAAAATAAAATAAAATAAAATAGAATAAATAAATAAAAATTACTTGAAAAAACCAGCATACAACAAGATATTGAAAATAAAGAAATAATACAAGTTTTATATTTAATAATAAAAATAATAAAAATAATAAAAATAATAAAAATAATGATAATGAAAAATAAAATAAGAATATTTCGTAAAAGAATTGTTCATGAAAAAGTTGAAAGATCAACGAAAATCGTTTAGGCTTAATGCTGATCTGGTACCGAACTCATTTATACGTATCTTTGAAAAAATGTAACATTGAAGTGATTTACATCAAATCCTCACGGGGCTGTTACACGATGTATCTGCACAGCAACAATACGTACCTGGTACACACGTACGTACGTATATACGTAATGTCATACGCAAAGGTTGTATAAATTATTTATCGTTATGCACTAGAGATGAATTAAAATGACGAATTGCAGTGAACTCAGCAATTAATGATGAAATACAAAGATTCTAAAATTAATTACAAACAAAAAACTACCGAGGAAAATAGTTATCGTGATTAAATAGAACTATGTATTCTGAATTCAATTTAATTCTTTTTTTATGGGGTTTGTCTTTTTGTACGTAACGAATAAATAAACTGCTACGTACGTACGTACATACGTATGTACGTAACGGTAACGGTAAGTGAAAATTTTTTTTGAATAATACACATTTTAAGAAATGATGCAAAGATTATTTAGTAAACAATGCATTCATTGTACGAAATCATCCCCAAAATTATCATATTTGTTATTTTAATTATTAATTAATTTATTTGGTGTTACAACAAAAAAATTCTTTGTTATAGAATAGAATTGAATATTAAACTATATCAGTATTAATATTGTATATTTAAATTTTATATATAGCAATATTAATTTTTTTACAAATAAAACTTAACTGTTTAAAGCCATTACAGTATAGTCAACACTGCCCAGTTTGCATGCCATTTTGTTAGCTTTATTGTCCGGAGCGAAGCGGAGGACTCGTACTTCTATACGCTTTGATGACTGAAATTACGATTTTGATGCATCTATAATAAAAAGATCAAAAACGTAGTTTCGGCATTTTCCTCTGTCACGCCGCGTGTCTATATTTGTACATTGCATAAGAAAATTATGCATTTACGCGTTTGTGTAATATGACCAAAATAAGCTCCGGTTTCCGGTTTCCGGTTCCTAGTATACTAAACAGTTCAGTATAGAAAAACTTAATTATAAATCGACTACATAGTATTATAGTATTAGTGATGTGCCATTTATATGATACCTGAATTTTTTTCGCGTACAGTACGTATAGTTGCATAGTGTGTATAACATACGTAATATCCATAATTTACGTAGCATTTGTAAATCAGTTATATGTAACATTTTGCAAGGAACAATTTTTGCTAGACACTTTCATAGTCAAAAATTTGTGATAGGGATGCTTTAATGATTTGTTCTAGAATATTCCAAAAAATTTTTTGCGGCTCATCTTAGGGTGTGACACATTATAATTAATCAAAACTATGTGCGATCGGTCAATAAATTTATAATGATCAATTTTTGCAAAATGTAGATCAATTTTGTATTTTACCATATAAAATCATATAAAAATACTTGCATTTTTTTTATCTGTACAAATTGGGATTTTTAATATAAAATTTTTTCTGTAACTTTGTTCCTTTTATATTACTGCAATAAATAAAAAAAGGTCGAGTTATAAATAATGAATTACTATCGACTTTTCCTAACTCTTTTTTACTCTGCTCAAGTAATAAGTACAGTGGATATGTAACCTAAACCTATTTTTAATTGACCTGATAA